CTGTAAGAACCACTGGCCAAAGGCGCTCACTTGTGGACTTTTGACAGCCACAGTCCACTTTTCCTGCTAAAGGCTTGCATCAGTAGCCTTCCATTCTGACTAGGGTAGGGCTTCATTCCTAAAATCTAAATCTTAAGCTGTTTTAAGTCATAATCAACTGTCACTTCCCCGAGTTTATAAATGAGAGAGAGAGAGAGAGAGAGAGAGAGAGAGAGAGAGAGAGAGAGAGAGAGAGAGTCAAAGTAACAATCAAAAACAAAGGCCCCAAATCCTGGTTGTGGGGACCATGACAACAGTGATTGGCACATCACTGCTCTCCTGTCCTTCCTGGAGATGATTGAGAATGCATCCCTGGAAAGAGTGTGCACCATCAGCCAACAAAGGATGCTGCCCTTCATCCCAGGCACTTAGGATCCTCGGTTTGTGAACACACATGTGTTGACAATGGCCCCCCCTTTTTTCTGGAGATCTCAAATAACCAACACTGGGAAGAGAGCTGCAGTGCTGTGGTGGAGTTGTAGTAGGAGGGGGCATTCTGGGATTGAATATGGGGTGCTCATGGGATATCTGTTACGGGGTACATAGAAGAATGCTGCCCTGCTGGTATCTTCCTCTCACGGAGGGGTCTGCTATCTCAGTAAGAGAGTGAGTGGGCAGTGACAGCACCCTTACAAAGCACTCTGGACATGGGCTTGCTGCTCTCTTGGTCAAATAAGTGTCTGACAGTGCTCTCCCGTCACATGACACCATGTGGAACGTCATTGATCCAACCATTTACATGTGAAATTGAATGGAACAGCACAGTCCTGGAGGAGGTTATTTTAAGGAGGATGGAAGGGCTGGAGACGTGGCTTGGAGGGAGAGTGCTCGCCTGGCATGCGACAGGCCCTGGGTTCAATCCCTGGTACCGATACAAGAAACATTTATTTCAAAGCCAGATGTGGTTGTTGGCACATACTAGCGCTTGGGAGATAGAGGCAGGATGATCAGGGGGTCATTCTCAGTGGCTACACAGTGAGTTTGAGGCTAGCCTTGGCTTCATGAGACCCTGTCTCCCAAACACCAAAACCAAGCATGCAAAAAAAAAAAAAAAAAAAAAAAAGACTCAGTGGTTCACTTAGTGCCAAGCATGAGGACTTAAATTCGATTCCTGGTGAAGGAGAAAACCGACTCTTCTGACCCTACACATGTCCCCAGTGAAGGAGTGAAGGAATGAATGAAAAATGTAAATTTGAAATTTGAAAACGAAAAGGACATGTTAAGTGCTGCTCAAAATAGACTTAAGAGAGAAACAAGGAAGGAGCCGGAGCAGGCCAGGCCGGAGGCGGTGACAATGACTCCGCCCTTAGCTGGTCAAGGCAGGAGAGGAGGAGGCTGAACCCCAAGATCCCAGCCCCATTAACTTGAATCTTTGGGGGAGGCCACGACTCACACTGCCTCTCCTTCCCTACTCTTCACACAGGCAGAGAATGGCCCCACCCCCGAGGCTGGGAGGTCGAAATCACCTAGTAAGAACACTTTGGGCTGCTAAGGGCAGAGGGGAAACCGCGTGTGGACGTGGACGTGTGGACGTGTGGACGCGTGGACGCGGCTGCCTCGGGCTCTCTCCTGTGGGCGCCGCTGATCTGTTTTCTGTTGATCCACAGGAAAGCACAGCAGCTTGCAGCCAGCTCGAGCAGCAAGAAAAACACACCACGGGAATCTTCCAAGCGTGCAGAGCCACGTGCCCTGTTCTGTATCTCCAGCAATTAGCAGGGGGCAGAGAGTCTACAAAAGGCCCTATTGTGCATCTCTCTAATGTGCTCAATGTTTCGTCTTCAAGGACAAAATACAGCTCGCTGTGGATTGCGGGTTTTCTCAGAGGATAGCAGTGTTCCTAGAGTTGGCTGTACTTGTCATCCATCAGGATGAGCACAGAAGGAAAAGCCGGGTGCCCGGGGCTCCCCGTTGCATAACTCAGGTAAGGCGGCTCCGAACAGTTTCTAGATTCTATCTGTTCTGTTTATTGTGGGGTACAACATGGGCTGTTGATCTGTATGGGTTTAACCAGAAAGACTAAAAAATGATTACGTAAGTTCATGATTACTTCTGGGAAATAGGAGCACTGGAGACGCTGTGGGAGCGATTAACTAGGACTCCTCCCTCTCTTCTCCCCTCCCTCCCTTCCTTCCTTCCCTCCTTTCTACTTTCTCTGCTAGTACTGGGGATCGAACTTAGGGCCTCCTTCATGTCAGGTAAGTACTCTTGAGCTACAACCCCAGTGCCCCCCTTTAAAACCTGTCATTTACATTTACTATCCACTGACTTTATTCCTGGGCCTCGTGTTCTCTGGATGCCCATTTCTTCCATGCCACCCCTCCCCTCTAGCACAGAAGCAGTCTGTCCCTTTTCAGGAAAGATCATCTTAATGAGACAGCAGAGTCCACATAGAAGGGGGCTCTGGACACAAGCTCTGTGAGGACAGGGCACACAGTGGGGCTTTGTTCTCCTGGATGTGACCAGAGACTCTCTAGTAGCTAGGCCTAATGAAGTCCAGGCCAGTGTGTGCTTTATAGCAAGATCCTGGTGAGACAGAGACAGAGAGAGACAGAGAGAGAGAGAGAGAGACAGAGAGAGAGAGAGAGAGAGACAGAGAGAGAGAGAGACAGAGAGAGAGAGACAGACAGACAGAGAGAGAGAGAGAGAGAGAGAGAGAGAGAGAGAGAGAGAGAGGAGGGAGGGCACAGATACAGAGACATCAATTCATCGAGACATCTATAGTAGGCCCGTGAGATCACTGTCACCTGTACATTTTGGGCTCCTGGAGTGCTGGGTTCTGGGCCAGCCCTGTGCCAGTCTGGCCTGGTGTACCTGTCCAGGATATTGTGATGACAGGTGACACATTGCTCTGCAAAGTAACAACTCTCAGGCATTTGATGGACTGCTGGACGTAAGTCCGTTAGTGGCCTGGGCAGTTCCCAGTGTTCTTAAGGGGAAGGTTTAAGTTTCTTGGTACTTACGGCAGTGCGGGGGTTTTCTGGGTCGAAGGAGATGTCCACAGCAGGACTGGGAGTTTTTAGCAGTGACTGTCAAGCAATAAAAGCAGGAACACAGAAGGGAGAGCCCTGGGACAAGAACGCAGCAGCTTCCTGTTCAGTTTGCAGAACTCTTATCTGCAAGAGACCAGGGCCATGAGAGACTCCCGCGTTGGTGTGCCGCGGCATACTTGAAGCTGAGGATGAGCCCAGCACCTGTTTCTGTGGCCTGCAGTTTACTCCAGGTTGGAAGCAATGACCATCACTTCCTTACTAAAGCACATGTATGCAGGACAGTGGGAGGTGACGGTGGCACGTTTGAGAAGACCCTCCCCAGGGCCTTCTCTTGCTGTGGGTGGCCCCGACACCGGTTCAGGTGTGCTGAGGAGTGTGAAGAGGGACCAGGATTTCTTGTCTGGCTGGTATCGACAGGGCTCCAGCTTGAGCCCGCTTTTTTTTTTTGCCCTTTGCCCTTTGGCTCTTAATCAGCAACTTTGGTGACACTTTGCTTTGCGATTAACAGGGACACCATATACTCTGTCTTAAGTCCTCTCCTGGTGGGTTGTCAGGGGGCAGGGTGAGTATCGGCTTCACCGGCTGAACAACCTAGTATCAGAAGTAGGATCAGATAAACTTGATGAATGAAGCAAGAAAGGATGAGAAGCGAGGCTTGGCCTGGCATTTCCTGGAGTAAGATGAGAAGCAGGAAACGCGAGTCCCTCCTTTTAGACACGTTTCTGGTCGGACAATGCACACTCAGGCAGGAAGCTCTCCTGTGAATGCTGAACTAAAGAGAAGCCATTTTGACAGGTCGTTTGTCTCCCGATTTCACAGGTCTAAGTGGAAAGTGGACTGTCTATTGATTTGATACGCCCTTTTCATCAATAACTCAGGAGAAATCATTACTTTTGGTGGCTTATACTTCTAGTGGTGTCAGCCCCTGGGTGTCTCTCTGACAAAATGAAAATGTCCATGGGGAATAAAAATAGAGCTATCAGATAATCAAATTAAATAATTATAGTGTGCTTCTTTTTTAAGGATAGCACCTTACCTGAATATCAACATGTGACCATCAAATTATTAGTGACACTTTTCTAATTCCCAGAATCTTACGGTGGCATAAGGCTGAGGGACGGGAGTCTTGGGTTCTCTTGGACCTTGTATCTTGATAAAGAGTCTTGATAAAGAGTTGGAGCACGCTGTGCTGGGAACACTCTTGAGTGCTAGCCCCACCCATGCCCTTGTGACCACGGTGTACAGGTGCCAGGGTGAGACCACGGCTGGCATTCTCAGGGCTCCCAGTGACCACTGCTAGTCTCAGCCTCAGTTTCCCTGGTGACTTTAAACAGACAGTTTTCTGTTTGGCAACAGAGAGGACATTATACTCTATCAAATGTCTTTAAACTTGGATACAGGGTAACATTAGAAAGAAGGGATTATTAATAGGGTACCAGCGGGGGCTGGAGGCACGGCTCAGTGGTAGGAGGCTTGCAAATCACAGGCACAGACACTGCTCCTGTGTGTCTGTGTCCACGCAGGGTTGTACATTTCATTTCTGGTCTGCGATCTGTAGTCACAGTGCACAGCCCAGGCTTCTCTTCCCCGGATTCCTCTGTCCCTGGTATAATCCTGTCCAGCGTTGCATCATTCATAGCACTACATGCTCAGCATCCGATGATGCCTTTTCAAGTCTACTCCCACTCTTGCAGATTTCACCGAAAAGATTAGAGCTCATTTGGAAGACCTGAACTTGCAAATCCACAGGTGTTCTCACTTCATGTAGACGCGCCTTTCTTAATTCCTTGATTGCCTCCTAGGTTGAGGCAAGGGGCGGGGGAGGCACCACTCTGCTCCCCAGAGGTACCCCCCCCGCCCCTCCCCCATGCATTCCACACATCCCTTCACATCTTCCAGGGCTATTTCTGTCCTTGCCCTATTGAAATTGCATCTCAAAGGTCAGCTGTGGTATTCTCAAAGTCCAGTCCAGAGAGGGTTTTGTTTTATCTTAATTTTTCTTTCCTCTGGACCATCGATTTCCCTTCCCCTCCTCTGATGTACTTATGTGGTTTATATTTATCCACCTATCACCTAATTGGATGTTCTAAACTGGTCCATTGCAGAGCAGCATCCTGACTGGGAGTCCAAGCCCCTGGCATTAGCGTGCCTGTAATGGAGTTCTCGTCCTGCCACTAAGTGTATGGAAACGAGGATAATGCGAGGCATTGTTTCCTTGGTTTGCTGTCAAAATTAAATGGAATAATTAATGTAATATTTAGGGCTAAGCCTGAGGAAGTATTCGTGAATGTTACCTGTTAGCATAACCAGCTCTCAACTCTGTGAAAACAGACTGCTTCCCTCTTATCTCTGCCCCTTTAAGGTCATTTTGCTCTCCTCATCCCACAAAGGGCCAGTCAATACATATTTGCCTCCATTTATTGATGCAAAGATTCATGCACATGGTTTGCAGAGTTCAGGGAAGGAGAAACGACGCACCGAGGGAGGCTCCGGGAGACTGCCGCAAGCAGCAGAAACCTTGTTGTTCAGTTTTTAACTAATAGATGATTTAAGCTGTTGAGTGTTTGAATCGCTCCTTTCCGGACATATGGCGTGTATTGAGCAAGAGGCGGCATTAGCAGTTGAAATACTTGTTAGTGCGACAGTCAGTTACAACGAGGCTGCTTGGCGTAGGGACAGCATCCAATCCTTAGATTAAATGCTACTCTAACTGGATTATGTGGGGAGAGGCGGCCAGAACCCTGGAAGCCTTGACTGGAAGGATGTCGCCATCTATTGGCGACATGGGGAAATGACGCTGAGTGGTGCGTGTCTTGGTTGAGGGTAAAAGTCCTGAGAATTGCCATTCTTTCTGGACAAAGTGTGGGTGGGACTGGACAGGAGAAATTAATAAGGGGCAGGCACAGCCAGCAGCAGGTAGGAGATCCTTCGGTAATGCGGAGGCGCGAAGGGCACAGCACCTTGGGTCGGCGAGCGACAACCTTGTGGGTGTCCCTGGAGGGCAGTCCCATCACCCGTGTCCTGCTCCCGCCCCCACGCCACCCCCGCCCCTGACCCCACCTCGTACTCACGGATCCCCTCCCCCGTTGGTCTCGCTTTCCTATTCTCTGCTGGCTCCAAATTCCGAGACGACCCTTCTTCACCTTCTGATTCCTCTTTTCGTATGGAATGAAACCACAGCCGGGAAAAATCTCGCTGAGTCACCACATTTGGCGATCAGCTGGAACAGAGTGCCTCCCGAGGGGTCCCGGACCAGCCTCCAGCCCCACAACAGCAGATCCTCACGTGACAGCCTCCCCAGGAGCCAGGTAAGGTAACTGCAGGTGACTGTGCAGACGTGCAAGCGCCCTGGTTCCCACATCCATCCTGGAATGTGCTCTGGCCACTGGCGTCGGAGGGAAAATGAATCCCAAGAATGTTACTATCGGGTGACGTTTCCTTTGGAAGATGAAAGTGGACCATAACAGACCTGCAAGCCATTTATTATTTTTTTCTATTAGTGAACTATACAACTGGGTCACTAGATGGGTTATGGATTGTTGTATTTTAGCAGAGAGTTTTAGTGGAGAAAGGCCCGAGGGAAAACACGGGTGCTTCAGATTGAAGTGTCTGCACCCTTGGTGAGCACACAGGGAGTTAGCTGTCTAGGAGTTTTCAGGTTCCGATGGTAAGTACAGACAGACAGTGAGCCTGCTGAGGTGATGCACAGCTATCACCCCCAGTTCCTGAGTGAGGCTGGGGCAGAAGGATTGCAAGTTCAAGGGCAGTTTGGAAGGTTTCAGGATTTTGAATTTCATTTCTGTTTGAGTTCAAATGAGTTATTTTATATTATCCTAAACCCCCAGGGTTTTGCTTTTTTTCTCTAAAAGGAAGATAATGAAGCCTGCCTGTCAAGAAAATGTGGAAATTAAATGAAATATAATAAGAATTCTTTTATTTGAGTTGGTGGGGCTGGATTTAGTTAATAGAGACTCATGAACACTAAAACCTCCAGTTCTTGACCTGAAGTACAGTCTTCCTACTAATTCAGGTCATGGCCTTCTCTTTGAATATTAATCTACTAGCTGGCTCCTCCAGTTATTTTCTTATGCAAACCACGCATGTAATGTCATGTCATTTTTTAGCTTTGATTTGTTTTACTCTAGCAAGAACTTAAACTCTCGAAGTTACCCGCAACATCATTTCAATTCAAAAAGTCACTCCAGATGAGTCACGATTTTCCTCCAACTTCGTCTGTCTGCACACCTATTTACACAGCAACAATTTAACCGCTTTCCATCGTGAAGTCATTGGCGAACATCTAACTTTGCTTTCAGAGAACGGCTTTCTCTCCTTGTACACTCGGGCGCTTTCAGATGTTTGATCCCTTGCACACTAATAATTAATTAAGTAAACTAATTAGTTTCGCAGTTGCAGTAACAGGTACAGCTGTGAACTGCCTCTTGGGAAGCATGCTCCCACCATGGAGCAGATGTAATGAGTACTGTCCCCACTGCAGTGGGTGACACAGTTCTCACGGGGCCCAGAGAATCACAGTTAACCTTCAGCCTGAGTTAAACAGGTGGATTCAGTACTTCCTGCCCCACGTTCAGAGAGCTTGACCTCATGCTCCTGAACAAAAGTGCCTTATCTGCTGTCAGGAGCTACCCACATTATTATCATCGCTAATGAGTTCAGAGTTCAAAGGGTAGTTTGAAATCTAGCAGTTTTCCCCATCATTTTACAGATGAGAAAAAAAAATACAGCTGTTTGTAACCTGGGTCTTCATAAAATGCCTCGTGGCTTCCATACATCGAAGGGTGTATATCATGAAGCTAATATTTGAGTCTCAGGGATTTATGTCTGTGAAGTGTTAGAATACTGCTTGGAAGGCTTCTAACTTTTCTGATCCATAACTTTTCTGTAGGACCAGGCAGAACCATGACATATTGATGATCTTGGGGGTAATGAAAACCTTGAGCCTGGATGTGGCGTACATTGGAAGCACCTTCAGAGGCAGAGGGTCTTATTAAGCAGTGGGTAAAGGGACCAAACAAGCACCAGCCAGACTCCTGTCTTCAGCTCGAGGTGTCCAAGCTTCCTCCTCCTCGGTCCCCCAGCCTGGGTCTCGCTAAGCTCAACAGTAGAGTCTACCTCTAGTAGGAAATGGCTGTTTAGCACCTATGGGAAGAGCCAAGTGACCAGGACTCTGTGTCCTGCATTCATCAGTAGTTTGTTTACCGTGTTCCTTTCAGACAGCTTGTGTGGTCACAGGTGGAGATGATTCTTTGGTTGGTTTTTTTTGGGGGTAAAGGTCACAGCATTGGAAGAATGCTGCTGGTACTGAGTCTGTTGCTGGTACTAGGACTGTGCAATGCCTTGGACTCTGAGTTTGCTTTACTTACTTATTTGTCGTTAGTTTTTAAGACAAGGTCTTGTTTGTTCTATAGCCTAGACCTTTCTGGGACTCGTGGCCTTTCTGCTTTTGCTGCCCGAAAGCCTCGAGGGTAAGGTGCACCGCCGCACCCTGCTTGCTTGTTCTTTTGTTTTTATTTCATTTTGTTTGGAGACAGAGTCTCTCCATGTAGTCTGGGATGGTGCCTGGGAGCTCTCTACATAGCCCAGGCTGGCCTTGAACTAGCCATCCTCCTGCCTCTGCCCCCTGAATGCTAGGATTAACAGATGTTGTTTTGCTTTTTTAAGGAAATTTTAATAATGGCATCCTGGATGGACACAGCCGCTCCTGTCGCTAATTCCAGCACCAAGGAGACTGAGGCAGGGAGATCTCAAGTTTGAAGCTAGCACCTACTACTTAGCTAGTTGAAGCTAGCCTGAGCTATGTCATGAGACTTGCTTTTAAACAATGGACGGATGGGGCTATAGGCGGAGGAAGAGTACTTATCCAGCATATGCAAACTCCTGCACTTGGTCTCTATACTGGGAAGAAAAAAAAGCATCCTAGAATCCGAGATCTCTGCATGCTAAGGTCATGCTTTTTCACTGGGCTACACTCTCAAACCCCAGACTGATTTTAATTTTATCTTGACAGTTAGTTATCTTCGTTCACTTCTGTTGTTATTTCATAATAACAAAGCACCAGAGATGGGATAAGTAATAGAGTGATTTGGGCTCTCCGTTCTGGTCCTAAGTTAAAGGACCCCATTGGGGAGTGGTTTCCTTGCTGACAGAGTCCTAAAGTGTTGTAGAAACATCCCCTGGTGAGAGATCAGCCCAACCAAGCTGGATTCTACAACAGACTCAGTTTTCAGATAGCATTAACCCATTGGTCCTTTACTCACATGGATTTATTCGTCAGGGCAGAGCCTGAGCCGGCTCATAGTGAACATTAAGTTTCAATGTGAGTCTGGAAGGGCTAAACCATATTCAAACCATTAGCAACTGTGAACTTCAGTGTGTTCCACAAACACATGTTGCAATTCTTTACTTTCTGCAAGTACCAACTTTTTCTTCTCTCAAAACACAGCCCCAAGTCCTTCTGTGATTTCTGGGGTCTCTCTTGGGGTATGGCCTCAGTTCCACAGAGTGTGCCAATCTTGGGATTAATTGCTAGTTCAGAGATTCACATACACTAGTGTTTGTTTAGCAATACCCAGAGTCTTGTACAAAAAGGGTAACACTCGGGCCCTTTGTTGCCTGAGATTCTGGTCCAGCAATTCTGAAGTGGGCCTGGGGTCTGACAAGTCCTAGGAATGCTGATGTAGAAGATTCCCCCGTAAGTGTGGAAAACGCTTTCAAGTTTGCATGCAAGATCAAGATAAGCTCTGGAAGCCAGCCTGACAGCTGACAGGAGAGCCTAGCTTTGGTCTCGTGAGGGAAAGCAGGGACATCGGAGACGGTTTGCTAGAACAAGCGGCAAGCTAGAGAAGGAACCTGTGAGAGTCTCTCTAACCACAGGCACTGCATCTTCCAGGAGGAGCCTCTCAACTTGCCTTCACGTTGCCCTGCTCGGGAACGTTCCATGACTTCTAGTTCTGCCTATTAGGACCGGGCTTGCTGCTTGGTTTTGGAAGCTGGGGGAAACCACCTTAGCCAGTCAGCGCATCCTTTGTGGCTCAGTTGCTCTTGCAAAAAGAGGTTGAGTATAAGAAACAAGGAATAGCTTGTTTTCTTGCCCAGCAGAGAGTAGCTCCAGTCATGCTTTACTTTGCCATGGGACACAGACACCAACTGCTTTACAATGAGGCTCATGGCCCTCCTCGCTGAGCGGGCCCCAGCCGATCAGATTAGTGCTCTTTTAAGTTACCAGTAAACTGTCATCAGGTATCTGTTGACTCTAATCCACAGTGTCTCACCCAAGGAGAAGCAGCTTCTAGTCACACATAGAGTTGCCTGGAGAAAACCCCAGGAGCAACCACACATGTCTTTGGTTGTTTTCTGTTTTGCCTCAGTATGAGTTTGTAAGTCCTTTGTTCTGGAGGGGACAGCCTTTCAATGTAGCTAGAGTTTTCCTGCCTGGCCCACAGTCAGGACAAATCTCTCTCACCCGCCAGTCCCACAGCCGCTCAGACCCGACCAAGTAAACACAGAGACTTATATTGGTTACAAACTGTATGGCCGTGGCAGGCTTCTTGCTAACTGTTCTTACATCTTAAATTAATCCATTTCTATAAATCTATACCTTGCCACGTGGCTCGTGGCTTATCGGCATCTTCACATGCTGTTTGTCATCGTGGCGGCTGGCAGTGTCTCTCTGACTCAGCCTTTCACTTCCCAGCTTTATTCTCCTCCTTGTCCCGCCTACACTTCCTGCCTGGCCAATGGCCAATCAGTGTTTTATTTATTGACCAATCAGAGCAACACATTTGCCATACAGAACATCCCACAGCATTTCAATGCTGTGGTTTCTTTGTCTCTTGTTTTCTGTTTTTTCGAGACAGGGTTTCCCTGTGTAGCTTTGGTGCCTGTCCTGATCCTCCTTCTGTTGGAGACCAGGCTGGCCTCGAACTTACACAGTTCTGCCTTTGCCTCCCGAGTGCTGGGATTAAAGGTGTGTGCCACCACAGCCTGGCTTCCTTGTTGTCTTATGGTGGTTTAAAAGTGTGGCCCCCAGGCCAGTGGTAGCTCAGTAGCACCTGGGAGTTTACTAGAAATACAGATTAGTAGGCCTCCTGCCTTTTCCAGGGTACAAAATCTGAAACTCTGAGGACTAGGCCTGGAGTGTGTGTGTGTTTTAATATGCTCCCCCAGGCAGTTCTGATGCATGCTCAATTGAGAGAACCCCTGGACAATGTGTCACTCCAGAGATGAAGACAGTCTTGACCTGGGGCATCCAGGGCACTGGGTTTTAAAAACACTGCAGGTGATTCTA